AAAAAAAGTATTATAGGGCGCAGGAGGGAGTAAGGCGCGATTTTCGAGCCCTACCCCGAATAATAGAACCCAAACGAAAAAACTCGCCACCCTATGATTATGAAACTTTATAACTCAGACGGTGAGTATCGAAAATTCTGAGTAAAAACAAATTATTGTGGCACTAAATGGGCGTATTTTGTTCAAAATACACGACACGAAGTAAATCAAATTTTTTATTAACCAATCTAACCAAACTTAAACCAAAAAAGGTTTCCTATAAATTTCAGGTTTTGTAAAGCTATCGCCGAATTTATAGATATTTCAATCATGTTAACAGCTTTGCAGCGATATCTCTGGTATCCTTACAGCACTAAATTACAGCTGCACAGATTCCTAGGACGTAATTTTTGCTTAGAGAAAAGATCTTATTTAACGATTCGATATAATGAATCAAGATATAACCAAAAAAGTCTTCCATCAGATTGTCCTACTAAATTCACGTTTTTTAAAGCTATTGCTGAATTTATAGATTTGTCAATCCTGCTGAAACAAATTTTTAACTTCGTAATTGCAGAAAAACATTGATTACCAGCGACATCTCTGTTATCACTACTGCACTAAATTACAGTGGCACAGGAAGTAATTTTTTCGAACAGAGATCTAATTTAACCATAGATTTACAATATAAATTAATAATTATTGTGCATTTCATCAGACAAAGTGAAGGAACCACCTTTTTTCTTTTAAACGTTTTTCCTTTGTCTTTGTATAGAGGTGGAGAGACGGTAAAATAAAATAACGAGCTATGGAGAAATAGAAGAAATTAGTTGACAGATATTGTGTACATTGAAAACTGCCGACTTGCCAAGTCAATTTTATATTTATAACGTCTATGAATTTAAACGATTTAAACTAGCTCCAGCTATTTGTGCTCGTAATGCATTAAATTTTTATTCTAGTGTGATATCTTGTTGTTTATCTGTCGACTAAAGAGTTCTTAGTTGTCGCAAACATAATAAACTTTTTCAGTGTATAGTGAATTCTTTTGTACTAATACTTGTATTTTCTATATATTTCACACTAAAATTGTCCTTTTTTGACAACACATTGTGCACGTCATTGCCAATTGTAGATCAATAAAATTTATCACTTTCATTGACCGGTCACTATTAGTGGTTTGTGGTCACTATGGAATTCCCATTGTTAGAGCCTATTTTTGGAAACCTGTAGAATGAAATTTCGGTTCTGAGTTTTGGCAACAAATGTAAGGCATTTAAAATATGCCTAAAAACACTGAACTTTAAATTTTCACGTTAAAAACGATCTATACTCGTTTTCATTGTTCTTGGCGTGTGCCTGAAATAAGCTACTACGGAATTTTTAATATTCGTCTCTCTCTGATACACAAATGCGTAATTCAATTGTGCGAGTCACGTTCGTCATGGTAAAGTGCGATGAGAAGGGAATGAAGAGACCACTCACATCTCCCAGTATTGTAGCAATAAGACCGATGCGTTTGACCGATAAGGTGTCGGTGATAAGTTCGGCCTCTTTACGAATACAGATAGCTGGCAGTGACTTGGTTTTTTTAACATGTTACTCTGATCTGTGCAGGTTTGAAGTTGCTGATGAAATAGTTTTTATAAGTAAACAGTTTTTAATTAATTAATACTTTGAGCTCTTACTGTGTGGAATTCCATTACATAAAATAATACTCTCGAAACCTTAAAAATTCCAGTTTATTATAAATTAACTCTCTCTCTTCCGATATCCATTGCAATAATGACTTGTGCGTTGTTCTTGAATGAGCTGGCTAATAGGTTTATAATTGTAGCAATTACCATTGATATTTTATGTTGTTTTAGTCGATTTTAGTCAGTCATTGTTGGAATTTAATCCGAACAGTTTTACTTATTATTTTTTGTTGTGAATAACTAACTGTTCTATTTAATAAAAAAAATGCAGGGAAAAACGATATGGAGGGTATGGAGAAATGCGACAATGTGTAGTTCATTTAATGGAGTATTTTAAAAAAGAAAAAGAAAACAACGGACCTTTGCTTTCGTTATCATCGGTACATGAACGAGTAGCGGACGCTTTGAAAATCAGTCTTTGCACAGTGACAAGAATAAATAGTGAATACAAGACAGGGGCAGCTCTTACTACACCAGGAGAGTCACGTAATGTACAAAAAAAAAGACTAATGATGTCAGCGATACTATAAAAGGAGAGATTAGAAATGTACTGTATGGCATGAAAGCAAAAGGAGAGCACGTTACAATTAAAGATCTAAATACACAATTAAGAAACAAGCATCTCTATGAAGGGGTTCTGATACAAGTTTGTGGCGTCTTATGAAAAATTGTGGGTTTTCATACAAACTAGAAAATAGTAGACGAGTGCTATGTGAGAAACCATGTATTTATTGTCTCCAAACGACTGTATTTTTTGAGGCATCATATGAGAAATTTTTTAAATCCAAGCCCACTTCAGTTCGTTTTTTTAGATGAAACATGGATGCCCTGCTATATGCCATGATGGATGGACGTTTATATGCCCCTAAAAGGGGCATATAAACGTACTTGGCAAGATGACTGTGTGAAAATCATCAGAAAAGGACACGAAAATACAGGTAAACGCTTTGTTATTTTACATGCCGGAAATAGGCAAGGATTTGTTAAAGATGCTGGATTACTGTTTCTACGAAATCGAAGAGTGCAGACTATCATGATTCTATCGATAAAGGGTCTTTTAAAAAGTGGTCTCCGAAAAGCTGATACCAATGTTGGAGGAACCATCTCTAATTATTATGGATAATGCCTCATACCATAGCTCTTTAATAGAAAAGTTACCGAATGCCAGTTGGAAAAAATCGGACTTACAAGAATGGTTACGAGCGAAAAAAATAATTTTTGACGACGAACGCGCAAGACAGAGCTATTGAGTCTTTGTCGCCAGAATAAACCACAAAATACCAGGTACGTTATAGACGAGCTACTCCAAGAACATGGGCATCAGGTTTTGAGATTGCCTCCATATCACTGTCAATATAATCCGATTGAGTTGGTCTGGGGCATTTCTAAACAATACTATGATCGTCATATTGGAGAACATGGACGTGGAGATGAAACAGTGAAAAAAGTTTGGGGCGATGCATTAGCTGAGGCAACACCTGCAGTGTGGGCGAGTTGTGTTAACCATACTGAAAAAATTAATTCAGGACGACTGGGCAAAAATGGTCACATATGATGAAAATGAAAGTAGGATTATCATCGATTTGGCGGAAGATTCCAATGATGAAGACAGTTCCAGTGAAGACGCTGACTGATTAGCTAATTAATCAAGGTCAGTACGTTGTAACAGTTCAGAATTCGCTACAGTGCTTAAAACTTAAAAAATCTGTATCATTTTTTAATTAAAGTGGGTTAAATAATTAACACTTTTTTGGGTATATTTCAAAATCATTTTAAAATGTACTTTTCGTTATATTCTGTCCTATTGTACTGCAAGCTAGAAAAATACTTCTTCGCAATTTATACGTATATTCCGTTATTAGAAATTTAATGAAAAATAATTTATAATTTTCTTTAATAACTATTATTTCGTTTGACATGCTACATTTTGCTCCGCCACTGGAGGAGGTAAACGAATCGAGCTTAGACAAGGAAAGACAGATGAAACAACTTATTGCAAGTGTTTTTACACGCACACGCCAAGAACGATGAAAACGATTATAAAAAATTTAAAACAGGTTATTTTTGATGACGCAAGTACGTTTTTAGAAACTACACAACTTCAGCTGCAAATTCCATTTAAGCGAAACCGCCCATCAAACTGGCGTGACATAGCACAAGGCTAGTTAAATTCAAAATATCGCCCTCTGAGGATGAAGTTGTGCTAACTCTTTTAAAAGTCAATAATATGAACAAAACTCGTCCGCAACGTTAGTTTTGGATACACCCTTATTGGAAAGAGATACAAAGGCATAGTAGATTTAATTTTTAATTAGGTTTTTAAAGAATTTTTTTAAAAATTTTGGACTTGCGTTGTCATAGATACCTGAAAATTTCTCAATTAATGAGACAAACAAATATTAAATTCTGGACTGTCTTACATATTTAAATTTTTTAACAAACACACATGCAAAATGTGGCAAAAAGTAGAACAAGCTTTATTTTTAACGACGTGGCGTAGAAAGCTGCATGACGCCTACTGTCATTTACTGTACAGTGAATCATTGGTTACATTTTAAGTAACATGGTAGATACGCGCTACTTGCCATTGGCAGTTTGGTGGGCGCCCTCCCTAATACCGTCTTAACGCAGCTATTTTCGTTACATGCGATCATTTGTAATGCGAAAGTTTAAAATCTGCCATTTTTTAGACATATTTGAAATGCTTCATATTTGTTGCCAAAACTCAAAATAGAAATTTCATGTTATAGGTTTTAAAGATTAGGCTCTAACAATGTTAACTCCACTACGGCCGGTCTATGAAAGATGAATTTTACTGATTTCATGAGTCGTAAAAAATGGCAAAAATCGCGCAGCTTTATTTATTGATCAAGTTTATAGCAACTGACTTGATTTGCAGTAAAATACAAAATTGTATACAAAAGCTGTACTCTTAATTTTTGTCGATAGGACACTGATCAAAAGACATCGAATTTTTATCGAGATGATACAAATTTTATTTAAAACTGATTTCTGAAACTAAAACTAAAACTGAAATTCAACATCGCCGGTCGCTTCAATCACTGTTTAGGCGAAAACGGTTCTCTTTGCACAAAAAGTACCTATAAACATTTTTTTTTTCAAAATTATCTCGGCTACATTTTCAATTTGAAACATTTTGTCTAAAACTCACAGATTCTTGGTAAATAGATTTTTCCTCCTGCATGGGGGGAACGGGTGGGTGGTGGTCTAGGGAGAAGTCAGGGTGTATGAGTAGTAAACTTTTTTGCATATTATCCTTCTCAGCTTGTTCGTATTGTACCGTTTTTAAATAAAACGAGCGGTTCGAATTTATATAAATATATTTATTTATAACTTTACAGTTCGATACTATCTTATCAACTAAACTTATTGCTAAGATCGTTACATATATATACCAAAGTTACTATTTTCTAGAAAGTTCCCACCTGTAGGCGTACGCGACTGATCTTTCTCGAAATATCGAGTCGCTTTCGAGACGCCGTCGCATGGAAGCATGAGGTGCTGTTTCGAGATGCAACCATTATACGTGCCTCGTTAAATGCACGTTCGTAAAACTATGATTTTTAATATTTTTAAGTTAGATACTTCACATTCAGTTGATATAACTCTTATATTTTGTTTATATTTTTTAAAATGGATTATCTAAACAATCTTAAAAAAAATTCGCTCCCTATTTTACCCGTTGAACAAGATCTTTCTTTAATTTATATATTACACCAAATATTAATGTTCAAAATTATATAAATTTGTCTTTGAAAGTGTTTTATTCATTATTCAAGTACATATATTCAAAATAGCCAAGATTGATTTGTATCCAGCTTTGAAAATAATAATTAAGACGAAAATAACCTAACCTAGTGTCTAACACAACTTTACAACTGAATTTGGTGCTGGTAAGCATAGAAAATTCAGTCTAAAAATATTCTCTCAAAAAGTTTTCGAAGGACTTTTTCGAATACGAACGAAGTCATTCCAATGAAACGCTTTTTTAACCATCTAGGGAGTCCATACATATTTGTAATGACTCACCAATTTAATAGTTTTAGAGGCACCAAAAACAATTTTTCTTTACATCTAAGGACTCGGAATTGGTTTTAAGGATAATCAAATCTCGTTGGAGCTCAAATATTCTACATTACGATGTGCATGAGAAAAATAAATATACCTTTAACTGCAAAAATGTGAAAATTAAAAATATATTTTTTATTTATTAAATACATACAATACATAATAAACCTAGCTTCTAGCGGACTCCGATACATTGCACCAAACCACATCCTTTTCCAAATTAATAACGGCCTCCTTATTCTTGTTTTCATGAACTCTTTTATGGACGGATAATTGCCCCGACTGCGAATAGCTATTTCCGCAAATATTACACAGATACGGTTTTTCTCCGGTGTGTATTCTATAGTGTCCCTTCAACGTTCTGGGATCCCCGAACGCTTTACCGCACGTAGAACAAATGTAGTTTTTGATGCCCAGATGCGTTCTTTTATGGGCGGCTAAGTTACTGGAAGTTACGTAACGTTTGTCGCATTGGTCGCAAGCGTAGGGCTTTTCACCTAAAAAAAATATTGTATGTATAAAATAACTGATATATATGATAGCGATTAGCTTCGTTGTTTTTGTTGGTCTCATGATAACTTTATTCGTCCAGTTCTTGGTAATGATTAAGCCATATAAGCCATGATTGGAAGTAAATTAAGCCATAGAGGCTAATTTGATATTAACCTAGCCTTTAAAAATAGTGTTATAAAAGAATCAATTGCTGCCGATTTTGACATCGGTCATCCAACGTACAGAAACTGCAAATCATCAACAAATGCCATGTTTTTGTAGCGAGCTCCTGACAAATAGAATTCACATCCCGGCAATACCTAAAACGTAGCATGAATGCATGAACGGGGCTCCGAAGAACCAAAATTTGTCACGAGCTAAAAACTAACAACGATAACAGCTCCAGAACAAATATAAATATAATGAAAAAATAGTTGTAGTTCATCAAGGCGCATTTCAACAAGAAAACTGATTTAAACTCACCAGATGAATCCAGTTAAAATCTAATGGTTACTAAAAACAGAGTTTTTACGACTGATAGGACCAACTACAGAATATCAATTCCTAGGTTCTCATCCAACAGTCTCTTTAATAGCAGAGAAAAGTATTTGCTAACGTATTTATGTAGTTTTTTCCCATTTTCCAATCAAAAACTCTATTTAAAAATCATAAAAAACCTTTTTGAATGATCGAGTCTGCAAAATAAATGCATGAAAATCGTCCAAAAGAATTAGAATTTGTTGCGCGATGACAAAAAGCTCCAAAAAGCATAAAGAGAATGGAAAAATCGTTGTAGTTCATCAAGGCGCATTTTAACGAGATTACTAATTTAAACTCATCATACGGATTCAGTTAAAATTTAATAGTTACGAAAAACACCGTATTTAGATACAAAAAAAATGTTTGTACATGTATTTATGTAGGTTCCCCACATAGATGATTACAGGACCAGAAAAAAACAATTTTCCAATAAAAACTTTAAGTAAAAACGATAAAAAATTAAATTTCATGGTCAAAAATACGTTTTCGAATGATCCGGATTGCAAAATAAATGCACGAAAGTGACTCCGAAGGACCAAACTTTGTCACGCGATAAGAGTTAACGTAAAAACGTTTTTAACTACTTTTAGTAGTAAATGTAGTTTTTTTACTTACCTGTGTGGGATCGTATGTGAACTTGTAGATCTCTAGATCGACTGAAGGTTTTTCCACAAATTGAACACTGATATGATTTCTCTTTACTGTGAACAACCTGGTGAGAAAATAGTCGACTTTTGCTTATAAATGACTAAAAAAAAAACAAAGTATATTAACATATAATCAAATATTTAATTTAGTATTAATTTTTTTTTATATGACTTTCTTGGGCATCGTTGGGTCAATTAAGCTACTTATTAAGGTACATAACCACGATATCTAGCAGCGCAAGCTTTCACGCTGCTAGCGAAAAGCGACACTATATTACTCAGGAAATAACCTACCCTAATTGTAACCTCGGAAATCTTTTTTGGATGGTGCTAGAAAGATAACCAACGGAGACACTACGGACGGCAGCCAGATGGTTGGTGGAGAGCGAGTCGTGGGTTCGAAACTAGCTTTTGGAACCGGGATTGGGTCCAACGGACGAAATAAGTAAAGATAGGATAAGAGATATTAGAAAAGATATAGAAATAAACAAAAAGATAGATGGGTAAAATTACCAAAGATAAGAGAAGATAGAAACAGGGCGCCACTCAATTTTTTGGGGTTAAGGAGAAAATTAAAAAACCTTAGAAAAGAAAAGAGATAAGGAAAGATATCCTTCAGAGATCAGAGATCAAATCCAAGGAAAGATACCAACAGTTAATTATCAAATAAATTTGGTCAACACAATATATAAACAAATAATAAATATATTAGGTATTACACTTACTTACCTACGAAACTTAATCAGCCTGATCTTTCTACTGGTCAAAGGTATAGTAATCAATTAATATACTAAGCAAATATTTAGAGCTACTATTTTATCAGGGAACTTATTAGGAGCCGACAAATAAAATACATGCATAAAACATTAAGAATATATTAAATACAAAATTATGATGCTGCTAAATGCAACACAAGTAATAAAAATACACAACTATGAAATGGTGTTATATATGTATAAAATTAAGCAATAATATAATAAAAAAGTACCTTTACCAAGATATATAAGGCAATCATATACAAATATAGTTTGGCGTATCTCGAGATATTATAGGAAAGATAATGAGCAAAAATTATAGCAAATACAAAAGATAGCAAAAATTTCTTAACTCTAAATTTACAAAAAAAAAACAAACAGGTTACAGAGTTGAAAACATTAACTAGACAAACCGCACTTAGGTGGGTTACTATCTCGCACTATTAATTAATGCTAAACTGAGATGTTCATAGTTATTATTTGTGGAAAGTTCTTGAATTGTTCTTTAAATTAAATATAAAAATCGGCAATCTACAGATGAAGATATGGATGAATGATGGGTGATACGTCCAGATAATGGCAGGTGGTATGATACCATACCATATTACTCGCCAAGATAATTTGCAGATAAAGATTATGGTAACTTACATAATTCCTGATGACGGCAGCTTAATTCACTGAATTTAATATACTGTACTGGTATTCCACACTGAATTTAATTAGGTACCATTAAAGGTAGTGTAGAACTATATATAACTTAATATAGTCTAAGACAAGAAAACTGAAATATAGACTGTATACACACTTAGAAAATAATTCACAGAGACGATAATTTCAGGCAAGCGACCACACTCAACGAGAGGCCACACCGAGAAGTCTCACGAGATAATTGACCTGTGCTCAACGAGAGCCCACCGAGAAGTAAGTTGGTTCCACTAAAAATTTCACCAACTATCCAAGAAAAAAGAAGAAGAAGGTTTATCCCCCACTTAAAATCATCGGACAGTTGTAGGTAATTCTGAGGAAGTAAAAATTCCGAAACTTTTGAGTTACCGGTACCAACAATTGGACATGAGAAGCAGACAATACTTGGGATTAAGTTATTGTCAAAAGATACGGGCCTTCGGCGAAAATTATCAATTTATGTAAAAGAACCTGCATACCCAAAAGCATTATATCTTTTCATACTGAGTATTAAGACGGAAAGGATTAACTACCTTTAGTAATTAGGGAAGTCCATTATAATTTAGTAGATCCAATATTATTTTCTTATCGTAAACACGGAAATTCCTAATCATCGGCGTATCGCACGGGGGTAAAAGAAATTAAAAATGATTAATAATTTAATAATAAAAAAAAAATGTTACACCATCATTGTAACGGAGTTGGATTTCTAGTTAACACAGCCTGAAACAAATCAATAAGGAACTTCGTGGCATACTCAGATAGGGCAGCACTACTACAAGTCCAAGCAGATCCTGTTGACTTTAACATTATACAAATCTATGCAATAACCTTGGACAAGCCTGAAAATGAAGTAAAACAATTGTACAGAGAGATTAAGGAGTTAATGAAACTGATCAAGAAGAACCAGACTCTTATAATCATGGAAGATTTCAATGCGAAGGTAGGGCGCGGACGTGTTGAAGGTGTAGTGACAGTAAGAACATCGTAAGAAATCAAATGGATTTTTATTGATTAATCGGAAATGCAGAAATGGATTGCAAGGAGTAAAAACGTACCCTGGAACAGATATCGGATCTGATCACAATCCCGTAGTGGGAAAATTGAAAATTAAGCTTAAGAAAATTAAAAGAAAATCCATAACGAAAATTGATATAAACAGCTTAAAACAACCAAACGTTAAACTAAAAGTAACAGAAAAATTAAATGAGGCAATAGCAGATATCACGGCAAGATCTAAACAACCAGCCAGTATAGAAGACAATTGGAACTGTATTAAAAAAGCTATCGTAACTACCACCACGTCCCTGATCGCTTCCCAAAAGTACAAAAAAAAAGAATTGGATGACCGACGAAATATTATCAATGATGGACGACCGCAAATCATTTAAAAACAAAGACCGAAAAAAATATCAACATATTAACCGACAAATACAAAAAGAGTGTCGCAAAGCTAAAGAACAGTGGCTACTAGACACGTGTGTAGAAATGGAAGAATTGGAAGAAAAACATAAACTCGTTAAAAAAGTGACAGGTCATACAAAACCTTGCAGTTTTAATAGTATTGTGAAGGACAATAAATTAGTTATTGATCCCAAGGATCTGCTTCAATATTGAAGAAACTACGCACAGCAACTATACTCAGACAACACTAGAAGAAACTCTGAAAGTGAATATAAAAGTGAACCCTCTCCCAAAATATTAAAGTCAGAAGTTGTAAGGGAAGTCAAACAGAGCACATAGGGAAAAGCACCAGGCCCAGGCGACATACAATAAAGATCCGGTAATGGCAGGAAAAGGTTCGCGCTATTGCCTGAATACAACATTATGCGATTTTTCGTCAACTGAGTACATTTCATTATATTGATCGATTTGTAAACAATATAATTCATTGTTCACAAAGTAATAATGTTTAGTAGTAGTAGTATATTATCCCCACTCCTATTCAATATGTATTCCGAGGAAATATTTAACAAATGTATGGAAAATGCAAATGAGGGCATTAAAATAAACGGCGAGTTAACGAACAATATAAGATACGCCGACGACACGGTGATCCTTGCCAGTACCATAGACGAATTACAACAAGTAATGGAAAGACTTTATTCAGTTAGTGAGGAATACGGCCTGAGCCTCAACTTCAAGAAGACAAAGTGGATGCTGATAAGCAAAAAGCAACAACCTGCTCGACAATTACGGATAAGTAACATATTAATTGACCATGTAGAATCTTATGTGTACCTTGGCACCAACGTAAATGCAAAATGGGAACAGACCATAGAAATTAAGGCGAGAATAGAACGAGCTAGAGCAGCATTTAGCAATATGAAAAAGCTTCTCATAAGCAAGGATTTGTCTCTTCCCCTAAAACTACGTATAGTTAAATGCTACATTTTTCCGATCTTGCTGTATGGCGTGGAGGCCTGGACGCTGACGGAGACGCTAACGAGAAAACTAGAAGCATTCGAAATGTGGGTGTACCGACGCATTCTTCGTATATCCTGGACCGAACATGTCACCAACATAGAGGTACTCCAAAGAATCGGAAAGGAGAAAGAAATCGTGAATACAATTAAACAAAGAAAGCTTGAATATCTAGGCCACATATTGAGACACGATAAGTACCGTCTGCTACAATTGATTGTCCAGGGAAAAATAGACAGTAAGCGAGGGCCAGGCAGGAGAAGACACTCGTGGCTCCAAAATCTGCGGAAGTGGTTCGGGCTCACATCGGTCGAACTATTCAGAAGCGCCGCAAACAAGATCAAAATTGCCATGTTAATAGCCAAAGTTCGCAACGGACAGGGCACTTGAAGAAGAATTAGTAGTATTTAGTAAAATTCATTGTTTATAATTTAATCATAAAATAAAAAAATTGACAATTCAAATTGTCAAACATCTGACATTAATATGATAAAACACAGACGTCCTAATATATATTCTTGTATTACGTGTGGCCTAACTTTTGGGTGTGGCCTGAAAAATGTATCACATTTTTGCAAAATTTTGAAGTACATTTGATTCGTAGAACGGTTTTAACATTTGTTTTTTAATTCAGATTTTAGTCCTGTACAAATAGTTTTTTATGACTTTTGATCTAAAATAATTAGGGAAGCAGCAATTTAACAATTTAAAATTTCTCATTGAGTTTCCTATGGCCCGTTTGACGATTCACCACCCGGTATACATAGAGGTTCTAATAATGTTGAGTGAAGACAATATCGACACCTTGGTAGATCTTTTTAATGACATTTGTGGGTCCAGTCAAATACCACAGGATTCGCTTCAATCAACCTTTATACCAATCCCAAAAAAGGCAAATCGCTAATAGTTGCTAATAAGGGAACCTTGCTAAGCAACAGCAGCCTAACTTAACGCTTCGATATCGCTTTGTAAAATATTACATTTACTCCATACTGCTATATGGTGTAGAAACCTGGACCATAAAGGCCAATGTGATTAACCGATTGGAAGCCTTTGAAATGTGGGTATTTAGAAGACTACTTAAAATTCCCTGGACAGATCACACAACAAATGTCGAAGTATTAAATCGAATGGACAGAGAACGAGAATTGCTGCCAATAATAATAATAAAAAAAAGAATAGCTGCTTATCTTATTTCTAAATTCCAAGTACCAGTTCTTAAACCTTATTATGGAAGGGAAGATAGAAGAAAAACGAGATATCGGAAAAAAGAAATACTCATGGCTTAAAAACATAAGGGATTAGACAAACCTCGATGACCATGCACTCTTTAGAGCCACACAAGATCGAGAGGAGTATGCCAGAATTGTCGCCAACATCCACTAATTGGATAGGGCACGATAAGAAGAAGAAGGTCTGGAACTATTACTCCCTGAAGTTTTAATCTGCGACCCCTGCAAACATTATCAAACGCAATATTCACCCATGGTTTGCAAGAAGTATGAATACTTATAAAGACAAACAGGAAAATGGTGTATATAAAACTTAACGATCAACAGGAAGGGAATGTAATGTAAGTAAATAAATAATCAAAGTGAGAGAGAGAATTGCATTTGACCAAATATAATTTTAATACAGTTAACTTTTGCAACTTACCTTCGAGCAGGTCTCACATTTGTACGGCATTTCCTGCGTGTGAATCCTCTCGTGTATTTTTAAGTATGATGAAGTACCGAATGAAGCTTTGCACGTACTGCATTTATATGGTTTTTCTCCAGTGTGCACTCTCTTATGAGCTGTCAGAACAAATGAGTGGGCAAATCTTTTACCTACAATAGAAATCACGTGTATTTTGCCAAACTGAATCTACTAACATAAAAATATAATCTTTTATATTTTGTAAATACGAGTAATTTCTTCTCTCTGGATCTGTTTTTCCGTCAAACTTCCCTTTTATTGTGAGTCATAAAAAGTTGTATTTCTCTCCTCTATAAATATGCCGTAGATAACAGGATTTCTGTTATTTTACAATGTTCAGTTCCTTTCGGTCTTAGAATCTCATCCTTGACCATGTGATCCGTCTAAGACTCTAAGAGATCTTCAGCATTCTTCGAAAAATCCACATTTGAAAGGCATTTATTTGCCTCATACTGATCATTCTAAGAGTTCATATTTCACTCCATATAACTAACGTTAAGTAATTCCAAGATTGTCCATAAAAACTTTATCCCTCCAATGTCGAATATTTGTCGATTGTTTGCAATTATTACAAATGCAAATGTAGCAACATGCCGGTTGTTAAGTGCTTCAGCACCTGCTTTTAGTTAGCTGTTCGAATACAGTACTACCATCTCCAATGATTTGTTCTGTTATGTATTAATATTTATCTGAACGAGGTATATTGCAAGATTGATTTAAGATTCACAAATATGCATCCTGAAGATGGTGGTGGTGAAATGCAAATAGAAAATTCAAGACAATTTAAAGATAATACATTAAATGAATCAAATCAAACACCGTGACAATATGAAGGCACATAATAAGGATAAAATAATATTTAAGTATTTGTATAGAGAATTCAAAAACAAATTATGTATAATGAAAGACGGAGGAACAACAACAGATGCCAACAAGATCCTTGAAGTATGAAGCCAATACTGCAAAAAGCTTTTACGTGATACTGGTAAAACTGTAAATCACGATGCAGATTCTAGTCAGACAGAGATGAAATCTTCAATTTTAAGAGCGAATGAAAGAGCGGGAAAAAAGGTAACTTTAAGACATGTGGGAAGATGGTGTGTGGTCAAAGGCATGTTGTGAGTCAATTTATATACTAATATATAGCTCACTTACAGACCGTAGTAATGACAAAACAACAGTTTTTCTGTATGCAAGTAATATTCTGTTTCATATTATATGCGATCACTTAAAAATAAAAGCCAAACAGTGTAGCGATCATCGCACTATAAGTCTGATGAGTTATGTACTGAAAATTTTCCAAAGAATACTGCACTCGAGAATTTACAACAAAATAGAAGTACAACTAAGTGAAACACAATTTGGTTTCAGAAACAACCTTGAAACCAGAGAAGCACTCTTCAGTTTGCAGGTCATGGCTCAAAGATGTAGGGATATCGAACAATCGGTATATATGTGTTTACGAAAAGGCTTTTGACCATGTAAACCATGACAAACTTATAGGTGTCCTGTAACAGGTGGGAATTGATGACCGAGACCTCCGTATTATCAAAAATTTGTATTGGCATCAATGTGTAAACATACGAATTGGACACAACACGACGGAAGCAGTGGAAATACGACGTGGAGTGAGGCAAGGATGTATTTTATCGCCTCTACTTTTTAATATCTACTCCGAATTTATTTTCAAAGAAGCCTTACTTGAAGATACATGCATTAAAATCAACGAAATTAATGTCAACAATGCCATATATGCAGACGACACGGTACTTATTGCCTCCAATGAAGAAGGCCTGCAACGACTTATAAACAGGGTAACCAAAGCATGTGATGAATATGGGCTAAAACTTAATACTTCTAAGACAAAACTTATGGTTGTCAACAAAACGGAGTTACAACCAACGTAATGGAATAGAGTTAGAAAGAGTCCATAATATTACCTATTTGGTAACGCAAACGTTAACGATAAGTGGGATATAAATAAAGAAATAAGAATACGCATTGAAAAAGGCAGAGCCACCTTCTATAAATTAAAGAAAATTCTAATTAATAGAGATATTACATTAAACCTTAAAATCAGATTAATGAGCTGCTGCTTATTCTCCACATTGCTGTACGGTATGGAGAGCTGGACCCTTACAGAGACATTAATGAAAAAATTTGAGGCCTTTGAGACGTGGATTTTTCGACGAGTATTGCATATAAGTTGGGTTGATCGAATAAGAAATGAAATAGTTTTACATCGAATGAAAAAGAGCACAGAATAAATGGCTCCAATTGTTTTATGGCATTTTCTGTAAGGCTGTAACTTTCTACTCCATAGAGAAAAAGATATAACATCTAAGAATTCTTAGGCGTATATTGATATTTAAGGATAAGTTTCGGAGAATCTTCCTAAGGCTGTTGAAAGAGTTTCTGGCTTTTTCAATACGAGTTTTTATTTCGTAGCTGTGATCTCAATTATCCTTAATATTGCAGCCCAAATAGCATATTTTTTCCACTCTTTCTAACGGTGTATCGTTAATTGTAATTTGGGCGTTTATGTTGGATATAGATAAATAAATTTGAATATTTTCTAGCAGTGCCATCTATTGGCTACTTTACTATTCTTTGTTTCACGTTAAGAAAATAACATTACGCTTATGGAGATCAGTGTTGCCAAAACTCTCAGACACTCTCTTTTGCACGGATGTCCAAGATATTCCCTTTGCTTAATTTTTGAATTTTCATTTTCAATTAATATTTAACTGTAAAATCAGAATAACTACTAAATAAAAGTCTTATTATCATTATGTAGTCAGAGACGACATAAAAAAGCTGACATACGCACATCGTATTATTTAAGTTGCAATTAGTAATTAGATATACGCATTCCAAGCGGTCAATATTTTCTACTGATTTATATGATTATCATATCGTATTCTCACCGAAAAACAAATAAACTGTCGTTACTATAATTAAAATAAGATAAAATAAAATTAACTTTTGTAAATACTATTTATCTAATTAAAATCATTTTCCCTACATTTCATCTCTTGTTTCGAATGGGCACTTTTGGTCAATTACGTTAAAAAACATTAATTTAATTCATGTTTGTGGAAACGAAAATACAAATTATACAAACCTAAATTGTGCTTGTGTGTGTCGTGGCAACGCCGTGTTGCTATCGTCCATAAGAAATACATGGCCCTATCTTCGCAATGTTATTTTCTAAACGTGAAACGTAGTATAGTTGAACAATGTATCACTTTCCTTTTTTAGAGCAGTAGTAAAATTACAGTCATAGAGTAAACATGTGTTTCATTTTGTTCATCAAATCTCCATTTTTGTTCCAGAACTTTATAATTTCTCAATAGGTTATGTGCCCAGACGATTAAGTGGAAGATTTCCGATTAGTTCAAATAGTGTTGTACGTGTTCATTCGGTAAAAAGTTAGTGGATTAACAGTATCGAAAATGGCTGTAAACTATCTTACAAGTGTACCGCGTTTAACCGGTAGGGACAATTACCAGGACTGGTCGTTTGCGGTTGAGAATGTCTTCGTTCTAGAAGGATTGTCCAAGTGTATCCAGGGAACTGAAGAAGACACAACACTTGTTGCCAAAGCTAAAGCTAAGTTAATATTAACATTAGATCCATCCCTATATTTGCATGTAAAAGATGCTTGCACGGCGAAAGATGTATGGGATACGCTGAAAAAATTATTCGAAGATTCAGGTTTTTCGCGGAAAATAGGATTGCTTCGAACGCTGATATCTTTACGGTTGGAAAACTGCAATTCCATGGAATCATACGTTAATCAAGTGATCGAAACGGCTCAGAAATTGAATAGGACCGGCTTCAAGATTGATGACACGTGGGTGGGGTCATTACTTTTGGCGGGACTTCCAGAAAGGTATATGCCCATGATTCTAGCTATCGAACATTCAGGAATCGCTATTACCACCGACGAAATTAAATCGAAATTGCTTGATATGCAGATAGACGGCGCTAGCAGTGGAAAGCAGAAAGCTTTTGCTACAAAGTCGAGTGAAGTTAGCACTAATCATGTCAAGAACGTCAACAAGAAAGACAAGACTGACAAGAGAAATATAACCTGTTTTCGTTGTAAACAGAAAGGTCATTTCATGAATAAATGCCCTAATGCTAATAATAATGCGTTTAGTGCAGTGTTTTTAAGTAGAAAATTTAAATCTACAGATTTTTATATCGATTCTGGATGCAGCACGCATCTTACAGCTAGAAAAGATTGGTTGAGAAATATTCGAGATAGTAGTATGTCCAATATATCTGTGGCTAACAGTGAACTATTAACGGTAGAATGTGCTGGTGATATGATGATAACCACAATTGTTGATAATAAGAGATCTGAGGTAAGCATAAATAATATATCATATGTTCCTGATCTGACAACAAACCTTTTATCTGTTTCTCAACTAATAAAAAATGGAAATGATGTTATATTTAACAATGCAGGTTGCAAAATATACAATAAAAATGGATTGATTGCAACAGCTGATTTGATAGACAATGTATATCGTTTAAATTTTGAAGTGCCCAATAAGCAGAAAGCTTTTATGGCAACTACAATTAGTAGTGAAACATGGCACAGAAGATTTGGTCACATAAATTATAAAGACTTAAATCTAATGAAGAATGATTTAGTAGACGGTATAAATTGCAACAGTAATATAACAAACAATGATGTATGCAAAGTATGTTGTGAAGGAAAGCAGACTAGACCCCCATTTAGTTACAGAGGTAATAGAGCTAGTGCTTGCTTGGAGATTATCCATGCTGACCTGTGTGGACCAATGGAGATGACTTCATTAGGAGGTTCTAGATATTTCTTTATCCTTCAAGATGATTTTAGTAAGATGTCTTTTGTATATTTCCAAAAGGGTAAAGATGAAACTTTTCAAAATTTTCAAAATTTTAAATCTTTAGTAGAAAAACAGAAGGATACTAAAATAAAGATTTTGAGAACCGATGGAGGTGGTGAATTTTGTAGTAATATTTTTGAAAATTTTCTAACAAGTAATGGAATCATTCATCAAAAGTCAAATCCTTATTCTCCACAACAAAATGGTGCTGTAGAACGATTAAACAGATCGATAGTGGATAAAGCAAGGTGTCTTTTGTTTGACTCTGGCCTCGAAAAGATATTTTGGGCTGAAGCAGTCAACACTGCTGTTTATCTAAGAAACCGTTCAATTGTAACAGGTGTGACTAAAACTCCGATAGAAATTTGGACCAACAAAAAACCTGAAGTTGGTCATCTAAGAATCTTTGGATCTGAGGTAATGATGCTGATACCTAAAGAAAAAAGGTATAAATGGGACAAAAAATCAAAGAAAACTGTGCTTGTTGGTTATAGTGACAACATTAAAGGTTACAGATTATATGATCCCGAAATAAAAGATATTGTTATAAGTAGGGATGTAGTAATAAATGAAAAATCAGTTGATGTTTCAATCACAGTTGATGAAGAGTTGTCAGGATTATCAGATTCAGTGGGAGATAATCATGAATCATGTCAGGAACAAAATCATCATAATGAAAAGGACACATCGGTTGATGAAATTGCTGAAGACAACGATCCTGATTACTTATGTAACTTGCCAAACTTACCAGATGAAATCAGGAGATCAACCAGAATACCTAAGCCAAAAAGGTTTGATGATTTTGTGAGTTATTTGTGTTCGGATAGTGACTGTGATCCAGTTAGTGTCGAGGATGCTATGTCAAGACCAGATGGTAATCTATGGTTAGCGGCTATGACAGAAGAACTGCAGTCTTTCCAGGATAACGCAGCATGGGAAGTGGTTGATGTTCCCGAAGATGGTTGTGTAGTGAAGTGTAAGTGGGTATACAAACGAAAGGTTGACAACTTAGGTAAAGTGAAATATCGTGCAAGACTGGTAGCAAAGGGTTACACTCAAAAGTTTGGAGTTGATTATAATGAAACCTTTTCTCCAGTCATAAGGCATTCTACATTAAGACTTTTATTTGCTTTGTCAGCAAATTTGAATTTGGATATTTTTCATCTTGATGTAGCTACGGCTTTTCTAAATGGTGATCTAAAGGAAAATGTTTTCATGACTATACCTGAAGGTTTAGAAGTCGAAAATAACAAAATTTTAAGGCTTAAGAAAGCCATATACGGTTTAAAACAGTCAGCTAGGTCTTGGTATGAAAAAGTCGATAACTTCTTAATTAATCTAGGTTATAAGAAATCTGATTATGAGCCATGTCTGTACACAAAGATGAAAAATAGTCTAAAAACCATTATCTCTGTTTATGTTGATGATTTTTTTATTTTTTCTAACGATTCAGATGAATCAGATAATTTAAAATTGAAATTAAAATGAATGTTTCAAAATTAAAGATTTAGGAGAAATTAAGAATTGTTTAGGTATGAGAGTAACTCGTAATAAAGAGAATGGTGTTATAACTCTAGATCAAAAATCCTATATTGAACAATTGTTAAAAAGGTTCAATATGGAGGATTCAAAAGAAGTTGCTACCCCAATGGAGATTAGTTTAAGTTTGAATAGAGAAGATAATGCATCTCCTCAAGTGCCTTATCAGAATTTAATAGGTGGTCTTATGTATCTGTCAGTTTTGACAAGACCAGACATTTCATATTCTGTAAGTTATCTCAGTCAATTTAATAATTATCATTCAGAAACGCATTGGAAGCATGTAAAACGAATATTAAAATACTTAAAGGCTACAAAAGAGTATGGATTAAGTTTTTCAAAAAATGATAATTATTTGAAAGGTTATGTAGATGCGAGTTGGGGGAGTAATTCTCATGACAGAAAATCTTATACTGGTTTCTATTTTCAGTTTTCTGGTGGACCTATTGTCTGGGAAAGCAGAAAACAGAATAGTGTTTCTCTGTCAAGCACGGAAGCTGAATATATAGCAGTATCGGAAGCTGCTAAAGAGGCTATTTTTTTAAAGAATTTGTTGTATGAAATGTTGGGTATTGATGAAATTGTTATACTATATAATGATAATATGGGAGCTCAGAAACTAGCAATAAATCCTGTATTGAATAGAAGAACAAAACACATTGATATCCGATATCATTTTGTCAAAGAAGCTGTAAACAAAGGTTTGATAAAGCTGGAGTATTTAGACACAGCTAACATGCCAGCTGATCTCTTGACAAAAAGCTTGAGTCCTGTAAAACACAACAAGTTTTTGAAAGAGATTGGTTTAGTTAATGTAGTGTCAGAAATATTTGTTAAATGATATTTTTTAAATTTGTTTATCTAGTGGGAGTGTTGGATATAGATAAATAAATTTGAATATTTTCTAGCAGTGCCATCTATTGGCTACTTTACTAGTTGAACAATGTATCACTTTCCTTTTTTAGAGCAGTAGTAAAATTACAGTCATAGAGTAAACATGTGTTTCATTTTGTTCACAAATCTCCATTTTTGTTCCAGAACTTTATAATTTCTCAATAGTTTATGCCAGTGTTCTTACTAATGATCATAATTTTTGTTTTCTTGGAATTTAGTTTTAGGCCGTATTTGTTACATGCTTCTACAACGTTATCCATCATCTTTTGGAGCCCCTGTGCACTATCTGCTAGCAACACTGTATCGTCTGCATATATAATGTTTATAACTTGGCCATTTACAGCAATCCCATCTTCTGATTCGTTCAAGGCCTCTCTAAAGATGTTTTCAGAGTATATGTTAAATAATGCCGGTGACAATATGCAATCCAGTCTAACTCCTTCTTCGACTATGAAGATCTCGGACAGTTAATTTTCTAATCGTACTGTTGCTTTTTGTTGGAGATATAAGTTCGACACCAATCTTATATCCTTATCATCGAGTCTTGATGGTTTTAGGATATCGATTAGTTTCTCATGAGGGACTTTATCAAATGCCTTCTCGAAATCAATGAAACATGCATACACATCACAGTTGACACCCTGGCCCCCTGTATTAAAACTTGCAAACTAAAAAGTGCTTCCCTCAGGTGTTCTTCTAATTTGGAGTATATGCGCGAGTGAATGATAGTAAGAAGTACCTTAAGTACATGGCTCATTAACTAATTAATCTATGTTCTTCACAGTTTCCAACGTTGGCTTTTTTAGAACGTGGAATGAATATTTATAGTAGCCAGTCTTTTAGTAAGTAACCAGTCTCGTAGATGTTGTTGAATAGCATTGTAAGAGCTGTAATTTGGTGTGCCTCTAATATATTTAAAATTTCACCACACACCTCATCAGGTCCTGGTGATTTCCCATCTTTAATCCGTTTAATGGCCATAGTTACTTCTTCGTTTGTTACTTTTGGGCCATAGGGATTGTTTATTTCAGTCGGACTTCGTGATGCATCTTCGAATAATTCTTGCATATATAAATGAACACTACAACTAAAAATTGTTTAAAAATTAAAGACTTACCGCATGTATTGCATTGATACTTCTTCTCTCCTGTATGTACTTTATTGTGAGCTACCAATCCGGGCCGATTTGTAAATCTTTTTCCACAAGTCATACAGCTCAATGGTTTCTCACCAGTATGGACTCTTGAATGTATCTATACGAAATATCACGATAAAAATACTTCCAATTCTTTTGCAGTCAATACAAAATTAAATAAAAAGTTATATTGATTGGTTAAATAAAAAGTATTTTCACTTTTCAGAGGTTTAAAACTGAAACATCGATATTTTTCAATACATTTTATTAGAGGGTATTGCAAATCCAGTGGCGAGCACTTCCACGAAATAGTTAATCGCGCAGACAATAGAATATCTATGATAAGAGCCATACAGTGGCGTTGCAATATTAAACCATTTAAGATTCTTTTATATGTATTTGAAACAGCACTAATTAAAAAATTGTTACTCATTTAAATAATAAATGGAGTTTGATTTTACATAGATTGCTTTCTAGATACCAAACTTTTTAGTCAAATCAGCAACTTAGTAAAAATGTTCAGTACTGATAGTGTTAAAATATAAATATTTCTGATCGTTTTTTTTTTCAAAATTTTCTACGTTACGTCGGCTTAAATTTTTTTTTTTATTTAATTAATGGCTTTGGATACTTGATCCATTCAGCCACGATAATGTATTTGACTACTTGAATTTGTTAATGATGTAATGACCTATTGCATTTAGTAAAATGGTAATAAAGAGGTACATTAAGAATATAGTGTAAACATCAGTATCACAAGAATCAGTAGCTTGATAAAAAACCATACATTCATTCGTTCCATTAAATGCCCTAGCCAACAATATTTAGGACCCACAAGGGATTACATAATATAGGGATACTTTTCACGCTAAGGTGCCTTTCATAGCGACTTTATTACAACACAAGACAGGCAACGGATAGAAGGTAACTATATAACATAAGGGTAGACAGAGGGAACAAAGCTAGATTTACACATTCACATTACACATTCAATCCTAAATTTTTCTTTTAGTCCTTTTTAAATATTCCCAAAAAATTTGGTTAAACCTAATATTATGACGACAGATATATAAAATGGAAGATTGACACTGAGGGAGAGGTATTTGTTCTTTTATCAGTTTTTCCTTCTTCTTCTTCTTAACATGCCATACACCAAAGTGCGTAGGCGACTATCTCATTACTAGAATTCTGTTCTTGGCGGCGTGACACAGCTCACCTGTATTGTGTACTTAATAGCAGCTTCATTATATATGCACCCGAACATCCAATGATTGATATCGTCAGTGTTACCATTACAATCACAAAGTTCGGTTTCACTTAAATTAAATCTGTGAAGATAGGCTTTCACAGTAGCATGATTAACAAGGCATCTAACAAACATTGAATATACTCTTCTATTGGGATGACTTCTTGCAGCAAAAGGCTCAGTAGATAAAACAGGGTGAATTTTTGTGTAAAGGTTGTTACTTCTGTTACAAAAAGCATTCCATTCAATTTCCCAGTTTTCTTGTAATTCTTGTTTACGCAGCGAGACTAAATCACTTCTATTGAGCCAGCTAATTTCTAATCCGTTTGAAGCCGCTTCTTTAGCAAAATAATCTGCTTTGGTGTTACCCGAGATACCAGCATGTCCTTTTACCCAAATGAAAGAGACTGAATTATTTCTTTCAAGTAGCTTTAGTTGATTTTCTAATATTTTGACGATAATACTGTTTTTGTATAAATGCTTATGCGGATTATCTAAAGCAGACAGCGCAGATTTTGAATCTGACATGATTACTATTTGTTGATCAGACATTCTTTTCTCAGTAGTCCATTCTAGAGCTTGATATATTGCAAACAGTTCTGCGGAATAAATGGAACATTGTTGGTTTAATTTAAACTTAATGTGTTCTTGATTGTTTTGGATATATACCACACAACCAACTCCCAAAATGGATTTTGACCCATCTGTGAAAATCCTATATGGCTTATCAAATTTGGCAAGTTGTTTCTGAAGTCGAATGGCGTTGTTATCATCAAAAGTAGGGAAATAAACTTTGGTTTGGGAATAAAGAATATTAAAATTAGATTGGAAAAAATTTGTTTCAGCTGGGATTTCTAAATAGGAAAAAACATTAGGAAATGCTATAGCTAAAGTTGGAGAATTTTTGTTATGCCATTTTGTCAACTAAGTTAGACACAGATATGTCGGATATTTTTTGCAATAGGTAGGATTGGTAATTACTTTGACATTTAAGGATAAACTTTTCAGCTAAAAAAAGACGTCTTAAATGTAATGGAGGTTCCATACATTCGGCTAATAGATTTTCAGTAGGTGTAGATGTGTAAGTGCACCTAAAACCAAACGTAGAGCTTTGTACTGAATTCGGTCTAATTTTTTAAGTCTAGTGTTTGTAGCAGACCCATATAAAAAGCAACCATAGTCAAGAACTGACCTGGTATATGCCCTATAAGGCTTAAAATTTTAACACAAGATTAAAATACGAGCCTTGACAACTGTATAATGGGACAGACTAAAATAAAGACATAATTCAGATATTTGACAGTTTTTTTCCCTAATAATGTTCTTAGTGTAATGCTATGTAATTAGTTAATTACCAATAATGTAATAACAAAACATAATTATTGGAGCAGAATTAATTTATAATAAAAAATTTTATTTTGGACATTCAAACATTCGAACGTCCAAACTGACAACTGTCAAAAACTACTTCATACTGAAACCAAAGAATATAGACGCTTCTGAAACCCTCTTATCTATGACTGACCCATTATTTAATTGTCACTAATTTTTACATATTTTGATGGTCCTTATGACATTAATAGGTTATATGGTTTGTATAAAAAATATTAATTGCGTTTTGTGATTATTTGCTTGTATAGTATTATAATTATTAAAAAATAACACCTGAATTTGTTATATATTTTAATTTGTCGTAGTATTGGTTACCTAAAAACCGTAATTATTAAGTCATTAATAATGACTCCTTAACGACTCAAAGAACTGATAAGAATTATTTCCGAGAATATCTAGTCACTGGATTTAAAACGAGTTCAACAGATCCATGGGAACAGATCAGATTGACACGAGAACCCAAAGGAATAGTTGGAATAGAACAATGTATTTAAATATAGACAAATAGTATTTCCTGAAAATAATCAAACCCATATTAAAGAATGTGTGAGCGAACCTACTGGAGTATCTTTACATACAGTAGAAAGGATCATTTAACAAGTGAATATGTCAACAAAAACTGAGTCAAATAATTTACAATAAACTTTCAAGTTACAATACTTGCTAAAAGGAAAGCAACTGTGTCAGACTTGAGGGACTACGATAAACAGTTCATTAGAAACCATTCACCGTTTCTATGAGACTGAATGTTGTAGTGTATCATTGAAGCTCTTGCAAAGAAGGTGTAAAGAAGTGTGAGTGGACTGGAAGTGTGAGTTGCTATGTACAAGTAGGACACACTTTGCCAAATAGCTGGACAGATGACAGTTACAAAGGATTGTCCAAAAACATTTCATAAGGAATTAGGTTGGTTATATTAAATGGTGGTGGGAAGATGGATTTGAAACAGAATGACCTTTTAATTTTTAAATCAGGAGCCAAGACAGAAGATTATCATGATGAATTTGAAAATTACGAAAAATGGATAAAAGAACAGTTAATCTCTAATTTGCCTGTAGGATCTTTTATTGTTACTGATAATGTTTCATATCATAATGCACAAATTAATAAAGCACCTACCAGATATTCAGTACCTACCAATTCTAAAAATTGTTATACAATCTTGGTTGACAGAAAACAATTTTCCATTTGTAACTTCAATGTTTAAACCCCAATTATATGAAAGCATCAGATCACAAGAACAAGATCATATTTAATATAAATTTGGCAAAGTACCTCGGACATGTTTCTTTAAAACATCTGCCATATCATCCAGACATAAACCCTATAGAAATGGTTTGGGCGCAAATAAAAAACTGAAGCTGCAAAACAAAATGTTTATTTTAAGTTAGAAGACTTAAAAGTGTTGGTGGACAGGTTTTTGCTATAGTAACTGTAGATAACTGGAAGAAAGTGTGTGAACATGTCAAGGTTGAAGAAAAGTATTTGGAAAATGAATGTGCCATAGATGTAATTACTGAAGAATTAAGGATTTATTTAAACTATTCTAGCGGATGACGACAGTGAAATTGATTATGAAAGTGAATGACATAATTTAACATTCTGATGTATAAATCCACAAGGAATCTACGTTCCTGTAGTTGGCTGTATACCATATATTAAAAAATTTTTATTAAAAAACCTTTATAAAAGGTATATATTTAAAAACCCTAACGGGCTAATTAAACAAAACATTTTCGGAATCCATATTCCATCATCAGTGTCTAGGAGTACATGAATGTGCCACTAAATATATGGGTAAAAACCTGTTAACAAATAATTAGTTACATTTGGTATATGATATTTCTTATAATATGTTATGATATTAAAGTTACTGTTGGATAAGGTAACATGGCGACATATGACTCCACGTTGAAGTTGCTAGACCTGAGACGGTGTGTCTACAAGGACTTGTAGTTGCACTCAGTTGTTTCCATACAGTCCTTGTAGACATACCGTCTCAGGACTAGCAACTTCAACGTGGAGTCATATGTCGCCATGTTATCTTATCCAACAGTAACTTTAATATCATAACATATTATAAGAAATATCATATACCAAATGTAACTAATTATTTGTTAACGGGTTTTTACCCATATATTTAGTGGCACATTCATGTACTCCTAGACAGTGATGATGGAATATGGATTCCGAAAATGTTTTGTTTTAATTAGCCCGTTAGGGTTTTTAAATATACACCTTTTATAAAGGTGTTTTAATAAAAATTTTTTTATTCTGATAGTTTTCAAAACTGCCCTATATGTATGTATTATTTTTTACTTTATTAACATCATTTCCGATATTCTCCTATTTAACATTGTGAAGTTACAGCAAGTGATAATGTGTAATAATATAAATAATAGCGGTTTTAAAGTTAAAACAATCTTTGCAATTAATATTTATTAATACTACATTACATATCTACAGTTTCACATACATATATGTAAAACAATATCGCCAAATAAAATCTAATATTATTGTTTAATAGGTTGTATTTACCTAGCTTTAACAATTTGATTTAAATCATAAGTATTTTTTGGGAAGCACTGCTTTGTTAGCTCAGACTTTACTGTTTTGATAAATTTCTGCCACAACATTCGAAATAACCTCTAGTAAATGATTTAATTAAAAAAATATTTACACAATTATTTCTGTGGAAAGATGGCAAAAGCATATATGTCAAAATTTTTGCATTTTGAGATTTTTATACCTACATGTTCGTAGTGATGAGATCTAGAAGATGGCAAAATAAGGTATTCTGCAGATGTTTAGGTATTGTGTTATTAATGGTGTCAAAAGCAAATAAATTCAAAACAGTGACATCTTAAGATGGCAATACCATATAATATTTTATATTATTCTTATCTCCGTATAACACCTTTAGAGTAAGGTACTTAAGGAGGTGGCAATATACTACATGCAGATATATTATAAAGTAACACCACTATTTACGTTGATATGCGTTTAATTGAAAGTTGGCAAAACTACATATAAATGCATATATTGTATATACTCATTTTCATAAACCAAACATTATTATTTGTTAAAGATGGCAATTGCATATATGCAAACATATTTCATTTTGCCTTCCTCTTTATATGTGGAACGCGCGATGAGTTTCAACGCAACGTATTGATTTATTTGATTTTGCCATCTATTATACCAAATTGTTTTCAGTTGTCGCGTGGTCATAGTTGGCGAGTTTCGACAAGTCTAAACTGTGCATTTGTTAGTAACTGTTATTTTCGTTCGATTTATGAATAAGATACCTATATTAGGTGGTTGTTTATAGTGGATTTTAAGGTAGAATATTAGCTTAAATTATTTAATTAAACATGTTGTGCAAAACGTGCGGTCAGAACTTTATTTCTCGATACTTGTTGCTTATACATTGCTGCAAAATTTCGGTTAAAAAAAATCTATTTAATATAGATGATTCTACGGCCATTTCGTCAGGATCAAAGGCAAATGTACGTGAGCAAAAAATACTCATGTCTGATCATTCGGATAAATCACAGTTCTTAGAGATAAACAAAGTCTGCGAAGAAAAATCTGAGATGTATAGACCTAAAGAAATAACAGAAGTTTTTAAGCCAACCTTGTGCGAATTAGCAAACGTTGATATTATTGGCCATGGTTTAAATAGGGTAAGTTTTATTTTATGCAAACTTTAGTCTACGATCTTTTGCTATTTTTTTATTTTTTAATTCTTTACACAATGTTTATATGGGCGTCCCATTGTTTTTGAAAAAAAAGTACAGGCATTAAAACATAAAATTTAAAGGTTCTTACTACAACATATCTAAAAGTTCTGTAAAAATACTGCAAATAGTACAAGACGGCAAACTACATAGTTACCGTGTTTCTAAATTAAGATGTATCTTTTAAGGAAGATGTTACGTCCATCGAAAATTACAAGAATAATCCTTCTAACCTAGAAACAGCGTTTTCTAGTTTCAATTCAACACAAAACGATGTTACAGCCATTTTTGAAACAAATAAAGAGAATGTAGCACCTTTTACTAAACCTGGATTAGATGTGGATCTTTTTGGTTACGTAAGTTTAAGATACTTTTTTTTGTATGTATGCGTCAAAAAAAATTCTTAAAAATAATTTTTTAATAAAAACATGCCTTCGCTTTCTAAAATTTTCCAGAAACTTGAAAAAATTGTTTTGACAGTCTTAAATTTATAGGAAGATGATAACAATTCCAATAGAAGTTTTGACTTAAACCAAGATAATTCGGATGAAGATCCTAACTGGTATCCAGAAGAGGATGGCGCTAACCGACTAGCGAGAATAATTAAAACTGCTGGGTCAGGAAATTTTGACGGTTTGTTTATTTTATCCTAAAAATAAGAGTGATCATAATTTTTAATTTGTATTTTATAATTTTAGATTGCTTGCCAAACGACGTAGAAGATGGTATCCATGATATCGAATGTGAGGAATCAGATTGTTCTGAAAAACAAGTTGGTAGTAATACTCATGAAACAAAACCGACCAGTAAAAAAAGAAAACGAGGTATCAGAAAACGTGCAGAGGAAACCAAGAAAAAAAATTTAGGCCTGGCCTACAGAAACAGGAAAGGAGTTTTATGCCCAGCTAAAGTATTTAGACCAATAACAAAATGTTGTACAAAAAATTGTCATCAAAATTGCACCCCTGAACAACAAAATATAATTTGGTCTAGTTTTAATAACAAAGCTCCAGATATGCGTAAACAAGTACTATGTGAAAGAATGACTCTTTCTAAATGCAAATACCAAATAATGAAAGGCAGAGGTATGAAAGGGGGGAAGCCACATAATCGGGTCGTAACTGTTAGTTACTCAGTGCATATAGAACCTCAGAAAATTGTAACTGTGTGCAAAAATTTTTTTATCAATGTCCATGTAGTAACAGTAAACCAGCTAAATCTGCTCGTTAAAAAACTAAAATCGTCAGAGGATGGATTTATAAAAACGGATATGAGAGGACAGCATGTACCTTCTAATAAGTTGGTCGAAGAACGCAGTGAAATTAAGAAATTTATAGATCAATATCCAAGACATGAAAGTCATTATGCAAGGCGAGATAATCCTAATCAAATATTTCTACCGAGCCACCTAACCATTCGTCAAATGCATAAAGAATATCAAGAAGATATATTAAAAAAAGGGTTAAAGAAATCTGCTAGTTATGATGTTTTTCGTGACGTATTCAATAGTACCGGGTATAAATTTAAACAGCCCTTCATCGATACATGTCGCAAATGTGACGAATATCAAACACTAAAAAAGAATGCTAGTACTGAGGCAGCTAGAGCAAAAATTAATGAACAACGGGACGACCACATTAACGACGCTAATAAAGCCTTTGAAAGCAAACGAAAAGACAAAGAGATAGCTAAAAATGATGAAACAAAAAGAGTACTGGTTTTTGATTTACAACAAGTCTTACCAGCTCCCTATTTATCAACTAACATAGTCTACTATAAGCGTTTATTATCTGTGTATAATCTTACTATACGTGATTGTTCTTCCACTGAATCGTCTGTTTGCTTTATGTGGTATGAAGTCATTGGAGGCAGAGGTTCTGATCAAATTGCCTCATGCCTCTACAGTAAAATAATGAGTTTATCAGAGATCGTTCAGCAAGTAACAACATATTCGGACACGTGCGGAGGACAAAACCGCAACATTAATATGGCTGTTATGTTTTTGTATGCCATTCAGAAGAAACCAACTCTCGAAATAATTGATCAGAAATTTCTTTTGCCATGTCATACACGCCTTGAGTGTGATAGTGACCACGCACGAATTGAAAGATGTAAAAAGCAAATTTCAAATGATTTTAAAATAATGGTACCACGGGACTGGTTTCAGTTTGTACGATCACTTAGGGGCAAATCCAAATTTACAGTGGTTGATATTAGACAAGAAGATTTTCTGGCGTTTTCCAAGCTCTTACGTGACATTCTAGTCAAACGCACAAGCGACACTGAAGGTGAAAAGATATCTTGGCTTAATATTAAATGGCTAAGATATACCAAGGAGTTTGGGTTAATTCAGTTTAAATATACCCTTGACGATGAAGCGCCATTTAAAACTCTAGATATAAGAAGGGGAAAAAGAAGAGGTCGACCATCACTGGCTACCATAACTGTCCCTCGCTCATACAATAGCCCCTTGGGTATTAATCCAAAGAAAAAGAAGGACCTTTTATCGATGTTAGACCTGATAGACAAAGACTGCCATGCCTTTTATGAAAATTTGCCAACCACATCCAACGCAAAAGAATATGACGAATTGTGCGATGATGCCTTGGATTCGGATTTAGAAGACTAATTGGTTATACAAATCCAATTTGTAATATTTCAAGCATTAAAATAAAATATAAATGTCTTGTTTTTCATTTCCCTTTCAAAATAATATATACATAAAACTATTAATTTCTAAGATGGCAAAAGCACATATATCTAAAATATCTAAGATATTCCAAAAACTAGCAAATAATCTCTCTTCATGTTTCACACATTAGAAGTACATTCAGTTCTTTGTACTATTGCACAAAAAACATAACAATACCTTTTATCACCGAATTAATATTACGTTTGAAACCTTAAAAGTGCTCTCCTGAAAACTATCAAAAATTGACATATATGGTTTCGCCATCTTTCCACAGATTTACTGTTATAACTTACCAGTAAATGACTTTGCTCATAAAATCTTTTGCCACACACTGTACAAAGGTGTTTACGTTCGCCTCCATGTATTCTCATATGTTTAATTAAAGTATAAGAGGCAGCAAAATCTTTGTTACAGTGGGCACACTTGTATGGACGATAATCTGGATGTTTGGATATCATATGAGACTTGTAGATTTTCATTACTAAAAGTTAATTCAAAATATAACTACAGTGGAAAGTGGATAATTAACAGTAGTACATTACCGCTAAACTGTTGATGGCAAACTTCACAAGCTATTTTTTTACCATGAGTCACCAAATGTGATCTTAAAGTGGTTTCAAATATAAATTCTTTATTACAAATTTCACAGCGAAACAATTTCGACTTATTCCTTTGACTAGCTTCTTTTGTTTTTACTTTTGGATAAAATTTTATAACTGATTGATTGTTAGTGTTTGATACATTTTCCAATACTGCAGGATTGGTCACATCCGTTTCAATATTTTGTGATACTTTTCTTATATTATTACTATTATCAAAGTTATTTATTATTTGTATTCTATTATCTGCCTCAAATTCAATATTATTTGCCTTAGAGACATCTTGTTCATCATAAATCTCCAAGCAAAGATCATTGGAGTTGTTATTGTCCAATATGGTAATAGATTTGTATATAATTGTCGATTCTACAGGAAATAATACTGCTTTTAAATGACTATCAGACTTCAAACACTGAGTTTTAAAATTAACTGCTACATTTAAAGTGTAACAGCAATTGCTGCAGATTCCATATGGTAAACCATCATTTTCCTGGACCTGGAAATAATATATAAACAATTTTGATGCAATTTGACCGTATACAGACAGGGCTTGTAAAGCCCAGCAAAAATGTGAAGAATGTGATACTCAATAGCGTATATGAATCTTATAGGAAAGCAATAAAAAATTGAAAATAAATGACCTCAAAAACAGTATATTATTTTCATTGCAAATCTTTCACATTTAAATATCTTTCTAATCGAAATTATTCTTTACCTGAAAACTACACTTAAAATATAAGCTTACCTCAATTGAAGTGATTTCTTTCAATTCTTGCCTCAGGGAACCCTCAGACAAGGATCTTAATTCATCTGCAGTTTTTTCATTTAAACATGTTCGACATAGACTGTCTAAAGACGTAAAAACAGTGTCTTGCTCTACCATTATGAAAAAATATTACATCCGTAATATTATTATTTATATGTGTCTGAGTTATTATTTATTATTAAGAAAAAATTGTAAATATTTAATGAACAGCTGATATGTTGACATTGACAGTTGGTGACAGGTTTCATTTTTCAACGTCAGTGTCATGTAACACCCATGGTACAATGAATACAAGTGTAACACCAATATACACCAATTCGTAATGTAAGTTGCCTATACAGTGGACAAGTTTATAGTTTATAATAATATTATATATAATAATATAATAATATTATATGGCATATGTATTTCATCTTTTTAGAAGTTGAAATAAAATTAAAAACCAAACATTTTGTAAATATTTTATTAATAAATAAATACACAAAATTTGACTAGTTTAGAACTAAGTTTTATTCATTATATGCTCTAAAATATTAAAAATTACAAAAATTTTCATATAATTTGTTATTTGGTATCGTAAGTGGTCTTTTCGTTAGATTAGTAGTTAAACAATCGTAAGACTCCTAACAATGAAAAGTATTTGTGTTCATGTGTATGGTTTAACATTTTATAATTTGTCCAATTATTTACTTTATTATTAATTGAAAGAACAAATAAAAACGATTTTATACTGTCTTTATATAGGATCGTGGACGTAATATGTTATAAGATTATCATTACAGGTTTAATAAAACAGTATTTCTTATAGGCTAAGCCAACCATTAACAGGGCTATTATTGAGACCAAATTGCGGTAACCCGGGTATTTGCCACTGGCGTGGTATTTATTGGGGACCTCCATATACAATAAAGCTTTTTATAGTGTTCCATAAAAATAGTCTGGGACAAAAATTAACATACTTAAATCATTTTTCATATATAAAATATGGTTTAAACTAACGAATTTTTCGTATGGACATTTGTAGATTTATAAAATAGATAATCGTAAATTCCTATATAATAGTTTTCTTCAAATCGAGTGGTAGATAATTTCTAAGATATGTTTTATCATCATTAAAAGTGTTCATTTTCTCATTATTTTAAGATCCTACACCAGGGCGGATCTGTTTTGAAATGGATGTAAGAGAGCATTCTGATCTTTGTAGAAAATGTTGTGTGATAACTTCAATAATATATATAAGCGAGGTTCCTACAGCCGCTGCCGCCTCTCGCATTTCGACCGCCATCGTTTTTTGTCCATCCATTCGTCTTCTTTGATGGCTCTATCTCTCATTATGTGTCGTACATTTTCTTCCCAGGCAACTGAAGGCCTTCCCCTTCTTCTTTTTTGTTGTGGTATGCAATTTAAAGCTTTCTTTGGCCATCTCTCTTCATTCATTCGCTTCACATGACCATACCACACTAGTTGTCTTGTTTCAATTCTGTCTACACTGGAATATACAGTATTTGTCCTCCTTCTAATATCTTCATTCCTGATGTGATCTTTTTTGGATACACCATAACTTCAATAATAATAATTGATTTATCCTCGCGTTTTTCAACCACTTTACAGTAACATTGCACTTGAGACTTCCTTAGTAATTCGCATCGAAAATATTTATAACCTAATAAAATATGTATTTTCTTCATAGAAAAGCGCACTTCACCTGTCCAACGCACTTTATAGAATTGAAATCGGATTATATGGACGGCATAAATTTGTAAACAATTTTTTTAGCTTATAAACAATTTAGCTGTTAGTTAATTAAATTCAGAAATCGTTGGAAAAGTTTTATAAGATACTTCTTTTATAAGAAAAAAGTTCAACGCTCTAAATACAAAAAATATTCTCATTTCTTCTTCTTCTTCTTCTTCTAGTTCCTATCCGTTTCGGATGTTGGAAATCATATTGGCAATCATAACCTTGCTCGCTGCGGCTCGAAACAGCTCCGTTGAGGTTTTCTTAAACCATGTTCTTAAATTCCGCAGCCCTGATATTCTCCTTCTACCGGGTCCTCGCTTACCTTTGACTTTACCTTGCAATATAGACTGTAGCAGGGAGTAACGGTGCTGATTTCTCATTTGAAAGCTGTATAATTATTTAAACAATCTTTGTTTAAACAAATTAAAAATGTTCTTAATAATTTTTTATGATACACTAATTAAAATAGATGAATTTTTATACCAGATGGGATCCATTGACAGTTTCAGATGTACTTGCCACACGTACTACTGGCAACTACTGGAATGGGTCGATCCGATGCTTGAGCACGAGCTGTCATTTTAGCGTACTCAAGTTCGAGTTCGTGATTGAGATCGGTTTATAGAACACAAATATAATTCAAGGTCGACCTCAAGCATCGACCGATACTTTAGTATTGACTATAAATATGAGAATAACATTCTTTCAATGTTTTCATTCATTGTCCTTTAAAGATTCAGGTATCAAAGGTTCATTAAAAGAAAAACACCATAAGTATTTATTGATAATATTTTATATTAAAAATACAAAAAAATGAAACGCCCAGTTGATCACCCTTTTTATGCAACGGAGTTATTATTCCTTTCAGCCACTCTTCTTGTAGCAATTCAGTCTGCCACATAACTACTACAGTTTATGGATTGCTGCAAAAAGTTGATCAGCTTTTTTATACATTTTCAAACAGATTTTATCGATTCCTGGAGCTTTATTTAATAACTGAGTTTTTATCATATAGAATTTCACCGTTAGTCTCTTCACAAATTTTTAATTGTGCTTTAAATTCTCGACAGCTACTATTTAAGGATTTGTAGTATTTCATCGTTTTGTTTTTATCGAATAAACTTTGTATCTCATTGAGAGTGTTCTGTTCCTATTCCCTATTCTTACCTCGATGGATACGTTTTTCTTCTCTTCTAAGACGTCTACATTCTTCTTTTTTCTCCATGTACAGCTGGCGTCGATATGCTGCCTTCTTTCTATTTGTGGCAATTTCGTAGTCATCAATGATTTCTTTTTTCTCTCTTGGCCTTGTCCAATATTTCAACCGATTTCTATAACACAATATCTCATATATTTGCCCATAGTTGGTTAATGTATTTTTCTTCTTTTAAATTTTCTGTCCTTATTTGCCTTCTATTTCCTAGCTGTATACATTTGCAATGTCGAGATCTTTTATTTTTATTGTAATGTAATTTTAATGACTTTTATCATGGGGTATACTTGCCAAGTGCTCCCCAATTAACACAACAACGTATCTGAAATGTTTTTGGGCCTATAATAATGTTTTCCTCTTTTTTATTTAAGTGAATCATCCAAAAGATCTTTTTTTGAATAATACGTATGCGTTTTATTCAAATTTGAAAAAGTCCAAAATAAACTTGCGACATATTGAAACAGTGTTTTCTCTTATAGACACACGATAGGCCCAGGTATGATCTCTTGGTTTTTTTGGGTTAAGAGATTTCCTTCCAGTTTTTGAATCTTTAGCAAGGTCCATACAGCTGGATAAATGGCTATCTTAAAGACTTTTGTTCTGGCAGTTGTGTAAGTGATCAAAAAGTTTTGATTTTCTACTTGAAAATCAAAAGGCAGATTTTTGTGGCATTTGTTCTGACAGCAGTCAGTAACTAAATTGAATGACTTGGAACTAACCTTCTTTCCTGACAGAGACACATATTCTTTACCTTCAACAGACCTTAATTTATTGGTTTCTTGTTTCTTATTTGTCTGTTTATGGATGACTTTCCTTTTCCTCTTCACATCGGAGCTATTAACTTCTTGAACCTCTTCGTAATCACTATATTCTTCATTACGTATCATGGTTCTTATCAGAATAAAACTTGATATAATAATATAATAGAATAAATCTTATTTAATTCGTATTTCTACAGGGTATCCAGAAACTCTGCTGACAAACGAAGACCAACAATAATTTTAAGACAATTTAACCCAATTCACCTGGTCCAAAAATGCTTCCTAAGGTAGCTAGAGCTCTTTTTCTGGTCTATTTGACCGAGAAAAAAATTACCCTGCACGCGAGGTTTATTTGACCGAAAATTTTAATGTAACTGTGGTATCGTCTCGGTCAATGTGACCGAGACGTTACATTAGACGACATGTTTATTATATGATACAATTTTTCTAAGCGACTTATGAAGGTCCAAGTAAAATAGGCTTATTTTCCCACTTTTTTTGTATTTATTGCTTTTTTGCAGAAAGGGTAATAAATTAAAACATTAATTAGTCGTATCTATATAAAGTTCAATTATCGCTATTTTATTTCATTAGAAATGAAATTACAAAAAAGACGATGTTTTTAGTCATTTAGTCCTTTTTAGTTTAATTTTTATTATTAATGTTCGCGACCTATTTATTTGACTTATCCTATAAAGGATAAGTCAAACATTATTATTGAAGTTATCACACATGTTTTTTTTTCAAAAATCACTTGTCACTTCATACATCCAAATTTTTAGTTGTTTTTTCACAGATCCCCCTTGGTGTATTCTTGGAGTTTCTCGCCACGCAATTTGAATTTGATTATGAAATACTTGACAATTAAGAAGGTTTTTGTTTTAGTTATACATCTTTGGATCGTCATTATCTGTTGATAAATACTTGATTTTGATAGATACCTAATCGTAAGGGGTTAAAAAGAAGAAGAAAAATATAGAAGCAATGCATTAATTGACAAAATACTCCAAAATATACGGTATTTACCAACAGAAATGTAATAAGTGGATATATTAAAGTAATTTTAGTCAATATTTAATGTTTGTACTTACTATAGTACAAAACCAGACAATTTATTATCAATTCACTTTTCAATTACATATTAAAGTACTAAAAAGTACTACCAAAATACTAGTCTTTCCAAAACCTGTCAGTTTATCACAGCAATGCCAGTCTTTTTCAAACAGCCTTATCATATTTTCATTCTTAAGAGTAGGATAGATTATGTAAAATTCGAAGCACTTGTTGATTGTATTTATACGAAAAATTCGTTAGTTATAGAAAAATACATAAGATCTGTGAGTATCATTAATTCTCAAAGTAAATCCATCCAGGCTTCATTTTCGTCACGGACCGACAAGATATAGATGGAGCTACTTTGAAAGTATTTTCTTGAACACTTTTCATCTTTTAATGTTCCAAATCTATATAAAATCGACCTTTCAACGGTACATAGAAATATTAATTAGACTCTAA